CTCCAAATTCTGTAAGAGCAAAGAGGCCAAGAGAAACTAGAAATAAACGAAGACAATTCCGATAATGATATTAGATCATTTCACATGAACACAGATCTCGTCCCTTTTTGGTAAATAGCCAACGAAGCTTTCTATTGCAGTATTTCCAGGAGGTCGATAGAAGGTCTGTGTATGAAGACTTCACACATAGAAGGACTATTAATTGCTTCTCCACGACAACGAAGACAATTTTCTATCGTGTAGTTGTACTCTGTCTCTCCCGCAAGTTTATAACCGATTTGTCTGAGTCGAACATTCTAAGTTAAGGGATATTTTTCAAAAGATCAGAAAAGTCTGGAAACTCCACCAAATTTGCTTTCGTTTAAATCCTTTAATAGTGTGACCACTGTCTTTCCTTTGCACTTTTCCTTAGGCAAGAATAATGAATGATTCATCCTAAGATATAAATCGTAACAGAAGATGTCGAAGAATAATAATAGAAGATGTGACTTAAAAATGTCACGTATATTTTAAAATATTTCGCCTCAAAAACAGCATCTAAAATGATCATAAAGGCTTATTCTGAATCACCCACCTTTTCCTAAATAACCTTATTAAGATCTTCACCATCAAGCATCATGCCCATCACCACCAAGAAAATGACCCACTTAAGAGGAAACCTGATTGTTGACGCCCTTCCGATACTTTAGATTGATAAAAGTCACAAAAATATAAACATTTTATTATACAATGTACAGATAAATATATTATTATGTAGGGTTATCAACTTCCTGTACAAAGAAAAAATAATTATTATTACATAATTCTAATATTACAGCGGTGACAGGAGCCTCCTGTTTACAACACAAAAGGAATGAGCAATGATATCTATTATTAAATCATTACTTTAATATTATGTGCAAATAATGTCAGTAAGAAAAAGGAGGAAATAAAATTTCTTTCTAATGTTTCCTTAATTTGCAGTTCTCTGAAAAACATCCAGGTTTTTGTCTGTCTACAATCTGCTTTTTCTTTTTTTCCGTTTTTTTGTGTGTATGGCAGTAAAATTTCAAAAATTAAAGAAACAAAAATGGTATGATGAACTTTGGAGCAACTGCAAGTTATGCTAATTTAACAACAAATACACAAATACAAGTGAGACGCATAAAAACATTAGATTTTTAATTTGTTAAATTCGACTTCTGTTACATATAAGTTTTAAGTGAAATGCACATTGTGGTTACTCTTGTTTAAGGATCTATACTTATTTAGCGAAATATAAAACTCATGTTTATTTTGCTAATTACAGGAGCTTATGTTTCTATTTGCCTAAGTACGTACACTGAACTTCTTGATTTAAAATTACGTCTACATATAAATTTAAAATTTGGCAATGATTTCAAATTTTACACTGATTTAAAATTTTGAATTATGATAACGATTAATGCTTATGTCATTGCGAATTTGCTTCATTTCTTAAAAAATATTACAACAAATAATGTTTATATTACCCATGAAAACGCTTTTTAAATGATTAGAAAAGTTTAGAGCAGGGACAGAGGCAAACAGCATGCTGATACTGAAAAATATTCAATATGTAACTGAACCTTAAACATCATATATATAGAGCGTAGCACATTTTGTTTACTTAAAAACATAATTATTCCAAGTATTCCCATTTAATACGCTGCTGAAAATTGATCAATACAGACAAAAAGTAAGAAATTTAGAACCAATTTTACACAAAAACTAAAACGACGTGAAATCGAAAATTACAGAAAATTACAGAGAAATTAAAAAAAAAATTACAGAGGCAGTATCGCTCAATCAACACCAACTGATTTTTCATTCAATGCGCGCAAGAATCGAGGCTGCTGAGCTTAAACGTGGTAACACTGGGGTTCTTATCTTTATGTTTTGAATGATTGCTAAAACTCTAGTCTACAGATAGTTGAATTGTTTACCTATATATGTGCGTGTCTGTATGTGTGTTTGAGATGAAAATGTGTTTCAGTGCAGATAATTTGAAATTAGATGATAGCTCGAATTAGACATGGATTAATTTTTTATCCATGGCCATGGAAACTGATGCGTAGTAGCCCAGAAATTGCGGTAGAGAGAATTTTGGAAGAAGCACGACCAGCTTTGTAATTAAACATCTCAGCACATTATTTTCATAATTTGTGAAACACTAGAATAGCTAAATACCCCCCCCCCCCCCACACACACACAATTTGGGACATGTAATTACATTTCAAATAGCGAAGAATAGCAAAAACAGAGCATAAGAGACACTTTGCCAGCAGGAAAGCGAGGTGGCGAAAGAAGTTGCGTAGTTGGTTTTGGTTATAAGTTTGGAAAGTCATTTTATATTTTATAAGTTTGGAAAGTCATTTTATATTTTATGAGTTTGGAAAGTCATTTTATATTTTATAAGTTTGGAAGGTCTTTGGTTTAGTTCTGGATAACGATTGGACGAGAGTTTACAATAATGAAGTTAGCGCAAAGAAAGCGAAGTTGCCCTGAAGGGATTTTACTTTAAATAAAAATTAGTAATTTGAAGGTCTGTTGCCAGTTAGTTTCAATTAAATTTAATAATTTTGTCTCCGCTCTTAAAGCAGAAAAAGCCTTGGTAAGAGAAAGTTATTCAACAAAAACACATTATTATGTTAGAAAAGGAAGAGAAATTTTGTATAATGTTTACAATTTTCAATCAGAAAGCAAACAAATGATGATGATACAATTTTTAAGATATACTTTAGAAATACTAACAAAATATCATTCTATAAATAAAATTTATTGTCCAGTTTGAATGTTCTTGAAGAAAGTTAGCTTAAAGATCATACAATAAATTTTGGCAGTCTTGTGAAAATCATGGTATATATTATTATCAATATTAAATCGAAATGATTTTAGCATATAGTTAAAAACTCATAAAATACATATTCACCTATTGTAAAAAATCATATTTTCCTATTGTACAGCAATGTAATACTTAATAAATAAAAACAAACAAAAGATAATATAATAACAAACTTTCACAAAAATGGCAGGGCCTGTACAAACCAATGAGTGTGACTACCTGCTCATGGCTGTAGGTAACAGGTTTTTAGTATTGTATGGTAAATTTTCAACTTGGTTTTATGAGCATAAAAATTATTTGACATTACGGACTTGGAATACAAATAAATATGTAAAAATTAAAATTCAAGTTAAGAAAAGTAACTTGTATTCTCATTTTATATTATAGAAAGTTAGTGAAAAGAATCTAACATTACCGCATGATAACAATAAGAATAACAATAATAATAAAAAATTGAAAGATGTGTAATGTATTGTGTATGTGTGTAAAATATGAGGCAAAATTATTAAATTTAATATATATATTTTCAGATAGAAAATAATGAAGAAATTTTTCTGATTTTCATTTTTTTTCTGATTATGATTGTTAACAGATTTTAATACAAATAAGCTGAAATCGAAAGAAGATGTGATGGTCTTTGCAGCCATGTAAAAACATTTTCAGTCAATGATACTGTAATTTGAAAAATAGTATTACGTAATTTCTTCACTTTTAATCTTTGTTTTTTCCTTTGGATGTAAAAAGAGGCAAATGTGATGGGATAATGAATGTTGTAAAATATTGCAGTTAAGATTCAAAAAGTAATATAAAGCATATTATTAGCTTATTAGTATTTTTTAACAGTTATACTTGATTTGCATGATGGCAGTTTATAGCACACAGCTAACTTGTACGTTTTCAATTCAGTTTATAAATATACATATTTATTGAGTTTTTCGAGTATCTTAAAGCCCATGCATTTGTCTCTTACTTACTTGCCTTTTCTCATGTTATAGTTAAAAAGCTATCACCTGAGTGGTAATTTAGCGAAACGCAATTAGATTTTCTAGAGCGCATTTTGTTAAAAAAGCATGTATTAGAGTGCTTTCTGTTCCGAAAATAAAAATACCGCTTGTTACAAAAGGAACTGTATATAATAGGCTAAAAAGCCAAAGTTAAGCCATTTTTCTAGAATCTTAAAAAGAGAGGAAAATTTCTCTCAATAGCTGCTGCAAACCGAGTATATTTAACGAAAATTCCTCGAAAATGTTTTGTGTTAAATTGGAGCTCAGTGGCTAAATGCTTTACCAGTGAAGAAGTCGTGAGAAATAAATAAACCCATCTGCAATTTAGCCATCTCGATACCAAAAACATTGCTCAGGTTACACCGCAGGGGACGACAAATTTCACCGATTAGAAAGAACAGAGAATTAATGTGAGGGTCTACTATCCCTCTTGCCGTACCTTTTGAGATGACTTTCAGATTGAGCCGCCGTGCCACAAAGACAATATATACTTACAAACATCCATGCTTTTTCCGGAATTCAAACCTGTGTCCAAAGCTATGACTATCAACTTCCTTGCCACTATGCCGAAAGGGAGGCTTTTTTCAATTATTTCTAGGAAAACTATAAGAAGATGTAATAAAATAGAAATATTCCATTCCTCAGGGATTGGCCGAGGTTCTAAAAGTTCGACAGATTTCATTGGGAATTAATCCGGTGATAAAGTAACATAATGCTATGTAAAAAATATAAAGGCCAATCTAAAGACGTTCTGAACTTCGGTTTAAATCAACTTGTTTGCTGGTTCATCGATGTTTCCTGTGGCACTAGATGCGATCTGAGTGATGCTATATGCAATTTTGTAGGTCTAGGACTAGTATGTGGAAACTTTATTTACTCAGAAACGGGAAATGGGAACTTGAGGTTCTCCATGCATTTACGTGTACCGTATATCTGTAGAAAATAGACTGCAATATTTCTTATTTCAAGAGCTATTCGATCACTATTGCCATTATTTAGAGTGGTATAATGCAATGCTCTGGTACCTTTTTTGGCTTTTAACTCTATTTTGATATGCGCAGCAAATTCTATGAATTAATGCTAATAATAATGTATTGTTTAAATAATATATTTGTATTTCGAATCAAGGTTTAATTTTGTTTTTCCTGTTTCAGTTTTTTGCTCTAGGATATGAAATGTATGTCGTAAGATATATAGAGTTACTAGATACAGTAAGTATAAAAGAATAATTTGATAATTTAAACCTTTCCGTATTTTCCTCTCAGAATAAAATACGAATGTATTTTAGTCCAGTATTAAATTAAGAAATACACTCTGTTGATCATTAAAGTTGCTACATGACGAAGGAAGCTCACAAGAAACCCGAAATTCGTTGGTAGAAGATATACAATCGTGTTGAAAACTAAGAGAATTGACAAATTATGTCTATTTTTACGAAACTTATATAATTGAAGGTACTAATTATGCTGAAGAATTATACACATATTCAGAGTCGAATATGTAGGCTTACACTTGTGTGTCTGCGGAGCTGTGATTGTGGAAGTGGTATAAGCGCACTAGAAGTTTTCAGCGATTTGTGTGCCTTTCCTCCTTCACGATATTTTCCGAGTTTCTCGCAAGAGTTGCGTAAATTTCATAAGGTATAAGGTAAAATGAGTAATCACGAAAGTATGGATGACGGAATAAGGTGGCGAATTATCCGTAGATCAGAGACAGACGAATCACAAGCGCAAATGGCGTCCCGCTCACTGCAGCATACAAGAAAGCATTTTAGCATGGTGCAGACAGCATGTTCTTTGAACCAGTGGAGCATTTTACAGATAAATCGAGATTCAGCCTGAATACTGATTCTCGGCGTACATGTATGTGGAAGTATAGAGAGAAGATCGTAAAGCCCCATGTTAGACTTTACAGGAGGGCAGTTTGGCCTGGGTTCTTGATAATAGAAGGCAACGATGGTCCACATAGGGCTCAGGTGGTCAACTATTACCTATTATCTGGTAATATCTGGTAGCTGGGACTATTATTGGCAGATATGGATGCTCAGGTTTCTGATTTCTGCACAATGTGTATCTCAAAATTACTTAAATTTGAATCATTTCGTCTTATCATTGTAATATATTTGTCAAATAAATGAAATTCTATTAAACGGTTTCCCTCATGGTGTATGAATTTTATAAAAATGGCTTTTATTTTAACGTCGATTTTTTTCATGACATGCTAAGTCGTCTAACATAGCATAATGGCGTATAATCAAAATTGATTTCTGCTATTCAGGTAGTTCATATCCAAATGCATATATCGATGGATAAAAAATTGAAGAAAAGTTGGTTTAGCAGTCTATTTCGAAACTGCCCCTTCAAGTATCATCAAATGAAAAGGTCGTCTCCATAATAATAAGAGTGTTTTCCAAGCGGAATTGTCAGCCATAAAAGCAGCGATTTAAATAGCCATTCTGAAAATTATCAATGAGTTTACCATAAAAATCTGACTCCCAAGCAGTTATTTTAGCGATTAAGAATCTCTTACCTTCCTCTCCATTGATTTCCGATATAAAATTTCCTCTTGCCATAATTCCAAACTACAAAATTAAATTTTTCATGGATCAAAGGACATAGTGGCCATTTTGGTAACGATCAGGTAGGTCAATTAGCTAAAGAAGCAGCTCTTAATCAAGACGGTATTGAAATCATCCTTCCATGGCCTCCCTCAAATTTCAAGTATGACTAAACTTGCTTCAAAATATAGGCAAGATATGCGAAATAATGCTTCGCAGGGAAGACGCATATATAACTTGATCCCCAATCTAAGTTTCTCATTTTTTACAAGAATCCTTAATTAAATTACTATATAATAGGACACGAACTCTTCCCCACATATTTCTAAGACAGAAATATGGCGAACTCCGACATCTGTATATATGAGGAAAAGGGAACTCCTGATCATTACAGATTCTCAAGCCCCTTAACTGAGGAGAATCACATAAAAGCCCACAAATTGATCTCCTGGCATTCAAAGGTTTCTAGTTAAAGATAAACATCAGTATCTGAAGTCAAAAAATTATGCAACGACTCTTTTCCTACGGCTTAGATCTTTGCCAAGTATAAGTTCTCAAACAACATGAATTAAATAAACTTTTACATCTTGTGAATATGTACAAATGACGCCACTTGTGAATTTTTTAAACTGTAAGTAACCTTTTATAATTGAAATAACCCCATTAGGTACTTCTTTAGTATTATTATTTACAGTTCATTATAACATATATTTGTTATAGTTATCTCATTATATTTATGTGCATACCAATTATGTTTATCTGTTATTTTTGTTACAACGAAACAGATGTTCAATTTAATTTGTGAACTTGCAATTGTATTGAGACTATACTGTAACCTCTTAATGGACTAATTCATTATTTTTAATAAATACTGGATGCGAGGCGTACGGTGGGAACGCACTCTGTACCACAATAGGTAAACTCTACATCATTTGGAAAGCTTCAGTTGCCTACTTCCTAAATATTTATTTGTAAATCTAATAAAGCTTGGATAATTATAATAAAGAAGAATGAATTCTAATAAAGCAATTTTTTTAAAGAGTTAGTATGGTAAGGAATTACCAACTGACCCATGGTGCATCGCTGGGGTGTCCCCCATACTTTTACCTGTACCTCTTCTTGGGTAGCAGAAATAGACAAGAGCACTGACAATCTACTATGCTGCAGAAGCATATATACACATACATACATAGATACACACACAGGATCCACAAGAATCCTTATACGGCCTTTATTTTCCTGATTGTTGATCATAAATATATACTTCCAGTTAGAAAAATATTTTAAATGATAGAAATTTTACATTATATAACTTTTTAATTTATAATATAATTTTTTTAAAAAAATTACAAAACCTAACTTTTAATACGTCCCCCTGTCCTTATCGATAAATTTAGTCAAAGTTCGTCCTCATCATGAAAAATAAACCACAAAAAGTTTGACTACCGTATAACAAAACTGACTGTGATATTATAATTTCAGAACTTGATATTTTGATGTTATTTTCGTTTCGATTTTGATGTTAGCTTTTAAAGGCTGGATAAAAAGAAATTAAAATAGTTCGATGTTGATTTTTTGCTTAAATGTCAGTCAATGGTCGTATTTTGTGATTTATTTTTGTGTGCCGTTCTTCAATTTAAGATTTCGTTTCATTCGGTGAGTTGAAAGAATTTTCATACAAGTAATTTATGAGTTTTCGCATTAATTGAATTTAATATATATTAAGAAACGTTTTGAAAATTTCCAAACTCGTATTGACTTATTGACTTCTCATTGACTACTGACTTGCAGGATGTAATAAGCATAGTTTACGTCCAATAAATTACGTATTGTGCTGTTTTATCTTGAATGCCATATATTTAGAAAACCTATATGATTATGAATGTTATTTAAACTAGCATTAACTGTGTAATGCCTTGTAGGCATGAGACGTGTGATGAAATTGCTTCAGGTAAAAAATGAAAGGAACAGCAAAATTTACAGCAAAAAATAAATTAAATAGTATTATTGTGAAAACGAGAGAAATGTATTTAGGAATTATAAGTTTGAGACTTCAGATATTAAAATTAGTTTGTAAGGATCATAGTTTTAGTTAAGAATTAAAATTAAATGCATTAATGAAGCTAACATTAAATATGAGTTCTGAGTATTTTAATCGAATGACTCATTTCCTAATCCATAATTTTCAATAAAGAGTTTGATAAGATTATGGATAAAAATTTTAATATCTATTCCTGTCTTAAAACAGTAAATTTTATTTCGTTACTTAAAATAATATTTTGAAACTTGAAAAAGACGTGCTTTTTTTCCTCAGGACGGCATCTTAGTTTACCAACAACAATTATAATAATGGAATAGAGATAATTACTTCGATTAGTTTGGTATTACATTAAATGTTTCAGTAATGTACTTTATGCAATATCTAATTCATCCTTTAACAGCCTTAATAATTACTAAATAACTCAGTCAATGTTGAAAAACCTCAAGACAGTTTATTTATTTAAATTTGTGTAATAAGCCTCGATGGTCACTTTTCATTTGTTAAATACTGAGTTTATTTGAAAAAATTTCATTTCGTATGTTTTTATATTATTATGTTTTTATTTGCTTATTTATTTATTTATTTATTTATTTTTTTTTTGTTGTTTAGGTATTTTTAGTTTTAAGTAAAAAATTCAACATGATCACACCTCTACACGTATTTCATCATGCTGTTGTTCCAATTTTTGGATGGCTGGGATTCAGGACCGAAACAAGTAAGTTTAGAAAATTAACAAAGTCTGTTATTAATTGCATTATTTAGTATGCTTATTTCATTCAGTCATTTTTATCAAATCTAATGCACTTAGAAGATGACTTCGTTTTATTTAAGATGTGAGTCTAATGGTATTTGTGATGCATGTAAATGCTTAAAGCCATTCATCAATAAAGGAATTGCAGCAAAAAAAATCAAAAATTAATTACGATTAATTTTTTTTTGCAATTTTTTGTTTTAAAATTTCAATAGATTGGAGATTAGAATGGATTTGAAATCAAATTCATTAACTAGAATGGGAAGAATATATTTGGATATCGAAAACTCAAAAAGAACCGAGTTCACTAATTGATAAAGTTTTAGAATAACAGTTACAGCTGGAAATTTAAATTCAGAATTCTATTTGGAAACTTAAGTACCAATTACAATTTAAGTTAAAATTGTATCTCATATGTTTGAATAATAGCTTACTTAAAATTTGAAAATTAACCTAAGGCATTTTCGAAATTCAAGCTCAATGATTGACAAAGACAGTTTACGAATTTCTTTCTTCGGACCCTGAATTTCATATTCTTTAGTGGGAAATCTTAAGGACCACTTTTCTGAATAACAAATAGGAGGAAACAATGTCAAAGGTTGATGTAAATTAGGCAGCAATTCATATATCGATCAGAGATTTTAAGGGGCAAATTTCAGTTATCGAAAGAAGGAAAATCACTTGAAAGATAATAGATTTTACAGATAAGAGAAGGCAAGAAGGGGATAAAAATTAAATTTTTACGAACGTTATTAACATAAAGGACATCAAGGCCAAACTGGATCATGACATTTTCACACGTACACTACACGCACAGCAGTCGGTTGACGAACCTTTTCTTTTTGAAAAAAACTAGGCGCTTGCTTGCCCATCCAGACTAAAAAATTATATACATATATATATATATAGAGAGAGAGAGAGAGAGAGAATTTATAAATGATTAGATTATGTACCAGGAAATCTAAAAGAAAATTTAGATAATAAAGGTGTACGGCAAAGAACTCGAGGGCTATCTGCGTAAGGGAAGGGATACCTTCGTCGAGAGCTTTTTAAAGAAGCTGGTTCGTATACACTTTGCATAGGGCGAAATCCACGAAAACGTCCATGCAGCCAAACGAGTTCGCGGGATTCGAACACTAGACCAAACTACTAGTGTTCAGCAAATTCACCTCTCGACCGCTGGTGGGCGGTAAAGGTGTACGGAGATCAAAACTTTGAATTCGTAATTAATAAGGTTGGAATTTGTAATTTATAAATGCTTAATTAATAAGAAAACATTATATATATATATATATATATATATATATATATATATTATATGTATAGATATTATATAAGCAAAGTTGTAAGAACAATACAGAAAGACCAATTTTGGTCAAAATTTTTTTGCGCAATGTGCTGCAAAATTAAGAAAATGAGAAGAGAAATTGTAGTTAGCTCGCCAAAAAGTGACCGAAAGCTGTGGCTCCAAGAAAAATCCAACATATGCATATTCAGTAGTTTTTACAAGTTCGAATAAAAAACTATATGTTAAATATTTTCGGAAATTTTAACACAGTTTTAAAAAACTAATTAAATTGAATGAGGTGATATATTAGGCCACATGCGAAATAAAATGTAAATTATAAAACACAGTAAAATACTAATCGACGGAACAAGTTAAAGGCAAAAAATAAAACACAGTAAAAAAACAATTGATGGAACAAGTTAAAAATACATTAAAAATTAAAAAGCGGAAAATGGTAAATTAGCTCAATTCGAGGTCCACTCTGGCTTTTCGAGGGAAATTTCTGAGTGAACATCGATCCAAGCTAACTCTATTACGCGTTTCGCCGAAACAGACAATTGAAACGTTGCGTTACAAAATTTTTAATTAATTAAATAAACTGTCCAAAAATTTTTTTTTAGTTTCAATTCTCTGAGATATAGATATATAATCGTTACAGCTAGTGTAATTTCATAAAAATTAAATAAATAAATTTTAGTAATAAATCAAAATTATTGCTGTTTTGATCTCACTAATTTAATCAACTTTTCAATTTAACGATTTTAAACATTAGATGAAATAGAAATTACATACTAAACTGCAGTGAGTACTACAGCTGACAGTACAATTTCTTTAGTATGACAACTACTCCTAATAATGCTGTAAAAAGGAGTTTTATGAAGAAAACTGTTTTAAAGGATTTTATTTCTTAGATCTTATTAAATACAGAAAATGTAATTCGGATGAGTTTATTTCTTTCGGTCAGATCTTCTCAACTTCCTTTTATATTACTTTTGACACTCTGTTTCAGCATATATAAGTTTATATATACTGACGTTAGTTTAAATATCGATTGTTTTTTCCCTTACCTTTTACTTGCAGAATTCGATAATAGGAGGCACAGAACTTATACTGTAGCAATACTCATATATATTATTTCTGCAGTAAAATTTCCTTTCTTCTATCCATCTATGCAACGAAACCTGGCGAATAGTGCTCAGAGGATATAAAAAAAGATACGGAAGGAGCTCAATACTAATATTATAATATATCAGACAGACTGGACGAACTAAACATAATGAACTTCGAAGCCTTTGCGTCCAAGTTAAAGTACGGATCCGTCTAGCAACAAAGAATCTAAATTATTAAAGTGTCGTATTATAATTTGAACACTTTAGTCTTGTATTTAAAGTCATCAGATTACAATACAGCCCTTGAAAGTAGGATATGACTTTAAAAATTGCAAAAATCCATAACAAGTTTAAAATAAGTAAGATTCTGTATGAATTAAAATGCCACACAATGCTAAAATAATCTCTTAAAATCAAAAAAGGTAACTGCAAATATTCATAAAAATTATTAGATATTTGAACTAAATGTATTTTTAGTTCAATCATTCAGATACAGATTAAAAATGTAAAATATATATTGCTTTTAAACTTCTTAATTAGTTTTTTCTTCTTATTAATCAATAGCAATCAAATTAAGTTTGAAAGAGAAATTAAAAAAAAAAAAAAACATGTTCCACGTTTCGTCAGCAATACGCTGTCTCATGGCTATACTTCTAGCTTACCTAGTCTGCTCAAAAGCATCTACCGCCTTTGTCGTTTCGTTTTCCCATTTCTTTACAAGTAAGTGACGTAAGTGTTGGGAAGAGCCTAAAACTTGCTTATCTGCTAAACTTGTGTTAGACTATAATTTCATATTAAAACCATGATACCCCTGAATACCCCTGAACTGCATACCCCTGAACTTCAAAAGTTCATATTTTACTTGAGCAAAAGAAAAATTCGAAATTTAAAATTAAGGCTTTCAAGGTGCACATTTTAGGGGGCGGAACTACGCGTATGTTCAAAATCTGGTGATTGTTGCGACGAATGAACATACAAATCCTTCATTTTTTAATAAGATTAGTATTAAAAAAAGCCAACATCTTTCAGGTTGGGTGAGAAGAACGCAATACTAAGCCGACGGATATAAATAGAGATATGTTTTCAGAATAAGAGATAGTTAACAGAAACGTGCTATAAATCGAGTTGGCGGATGTGCCGTAGAAAACCGAGTCTTCTGCTTAAACGGTAGAGTTGGCATGTCTGCAGTTTATTATAATGTACAAGATGATGAAATGGATTTTATTTACTTTTCGGAGATTGACCGACTTGATTGTTACAGACTTGAATGAAGAAGAAGATTGAAGAATGACTCAAGGAGAAACCAAATATTTTCAGTTTATGTGAGATGGAGAAGAATTGAGAAAAATGTGTTTTAATTATCCCTAGAGACATGAAAAATGTCAGATTATATTTTAATTAAACTCTGCATTTTTCAGAAAAAAAAAACATTTACGTCATTTTTATCAAAAAGTATTATGTCATATTGAAATTAAGCTTGATTTGTATTAGAGGTATATAATTTGATGCATGATTTGAGATTTACAATTTTTGCATTATGTGTTACCTTCCAGCTACTACATAATACAGCATACGATAAAGAAGTAAAATAGTGAATGAAAACGATACTTTAACAATTATGAGCTGTCAATTACGATTATTCCTCTTTTCCAGATTTACCGAAATAGCAGTTATAGTCGAGTTGATTGTATTTACACAGCATGTACAAACTTATGCTAGACAAACAGCTATGATAAAAGAGATAGCAAATTAAAAATAAAGTACATTTATGTTTTTAACCCCATGGATTGGTTTCTGAAGCGAAAATCTTGAGCAGCTAAAGCTTTCAGAGAAATACATAATGCTGATATGACGAATGGAAACACTAAAGTTCTAAAATGAGTCAATAATCTCTCTCGGGAAAAATTAATCTCTTTAATTTATTCGAGTTACTTTTGATAATTTTCAGCTAATATCATACTGACTACAGAAATTTCAGTTATGCTTGTATTTACATTAGAACAGAATGTTTTTTTTTGTAATAATAATTACATTATGTATTTTAACAATGTTTCGTTTCTTAAGTATCAGACATTTATTTCAGGTGCATACCTTTCAGTATTTATAGGCATTAATGGATTTGTCCATGTCGTCATGTACACTTATTATGCCATAGCTTCTTTGGGACCATACTACCAGAAATATCTTTGGTGGAAAAAATATTTGACGTCTTTGCAAATTGTAAGTACCGGGTACTTTATACAAAGATTTATTTAAAATCTGTAAAATTACAGATTTATTTAAAACCTTTAAAATAGGATTATTTCTAAATATGCGATTTGTATATGTGTAATATTATGCTGCATTTAAGGAACTGCAATTTTTTATATACAATCTTGTTGAAAAAAACATTTGTTATAAGTTACGTTAATTTTAATTAGAATTTCTTTTTTTAAACAGTTATATATAATTCGACACGTATCTCATTTTAGAATTCCAAAGTACTTTTTTCTCGAGAAGCAACTAACTATTTAGTACAAACTACTATTTAATATCAAATGTTATTTAATATCGAAATTTCATATTATACCGATAAAATTCGCACAACAAAGTGCCAATAAGGCAGTTTGCCATGAAAAGAAGTGAGGTAAAGAGATTAAATGGCGGTAGTTGGATTTTGGTATAAAGGAATGGAATGCTGTTTAAGAGCGAATTTAAATTAAATTTCTCTATTAATGTAAATAAATTATTTTGATAAGTAAATGAGCGAGATATATTAAAACATCCAAGTAACGTATTACAGAAGAAAGAAATTTCTTTGTGACTTTATCCTGAACATCTATGTTTAGGCGACTGCCGCCATCGCTTTCGTGCTCAACTTTATAAGTTATTTTAATGTTTCTTCCATTTTGTATTGCCAGTATTATTGGGGTTTAAAGAAAGTGTTCCGCTAACGCAAATAACGTCTGCGCAAACAGTTCGAATTGTCGTGTTTAATCATATTCTGTCAAACGCTTTTTGGTATTTGAAAGAAAGAGACTTGCTTTAGAACACTGCGTTCCGAAATTTGTAAAAAAATATCGTTATCATTAAGTACAAGTTGTCTGAAACGGAGCTATCACACTACCAGATAATAACCATCATTTACTTCCAGTTCTGCTGAAAAAAGTCAGCTACAGAATGTCACCAAATCATGTATAGATCTTTAGGTAGTATTGCTGTATCATATGACACTGTGAAGGTTTGGCACCGATAGTTCAAAAACGAGGATTATGCTATTCAAGAAGATTACTTTGCCCGGCCTGCTGATGTTGATGAGACTCGCCCGCGCGAAACTGTGGAGGAATATCGGTGTGCAATTACTCGAGAGCCTGCAGGAGTTAGACTTTAGTGCCATCGCCATTAGTCGCGTATTGCATTGCATAAACTTGACGTACAAGTTCAATCGCTGGGTGCCGCATGAGCTGACTCAAGCAGATAAGGGCAGATGTGTTCGGGACTGCACTAATCTTTTCGAATATCAGCGCAAGTCCAAAATTCTCGAACAGATCATTACTTGAAGTGGATTTAGTTAAAAAAATATGGATCTTCGAACGCGATCCAACAAGCTTCGCAACAGCACTTAGAATTCAGAAGATCCATATAGGTTGCTACACCCGCACGATTTGGGATTACTTGGTAATCAAGAAGTACTACCAGTGCCAGCAGCTGGGCCACATGCAGGATACCTGCTACCGTGAGGCACAATTCTGTGCATTCTGGCCGAGAAATCACCATGTGAGGATCTGCAGAGCCCGATGACCAGCCTGCATCAACTGCGGAACTGCAAAGTACAAGCATGGTGCAAATCACGACTTTAGACATGCAGCCTACCACCCCAGATGTTAGAGTACCAACGCATTGGCAGACGATTTCGCAGCAATACCAAGTATTAGCCAGCGGGCTAAAGGCATCAGCCGAAGTCCCCCAGTGAACAGGAATTCTGGCATGGAGCAGAACGCGGACGGTGATATCAATGCTCAAATAGTTCAACAAGATGAAATTCGAGTTCTGCAAATCAATCTTCAGAGGGCGAGAGCGCAATGGCCCAGCTCGTACAATACGCCACCGAAAGTGAAATGGACTTCATCTTGGCGCAGGAATCTTACTATCGCCTAAACAAGGTAGCAGAACTGCCATTAACATAGACAGTCAGGCAGTCCGATGGCAAGGAGAACCCAAGAGTCGCAACGACATGCTGCCTTCAAAAATGGGTTGCCAACATAGTATTCCTCTCTAATTACACTGTCACTATAGCTGTAGAAGCTATAGACCTCAGTACCTATATAACCAACGTTTACATTCCGCCAAACAGCTGATATTATGGAAGCTCTAGACAACTAGCAAGGATTACTCAGAAAAGTATCTTTAGGCACAACACCTGGTGGCTGGAGATTATAACGCCCATGACGATACGTGAAAATACTCTACTACGGTTATAAGAGAACGTGGCGTCGAAGACTTCGTTGCAATCCTTCATAATGTCCCAAACAGTCTCAAAACTTGTCAGACTATTCATGAGAAAACTTTACCATCTCAACCTCTTCAATGTCATCAACAATTTGCAAAATGGACAGTGCAAAATGCTCCGTCTGTCTCAAACCATAAGTATATTACCTATAGTATCGGCCGTCTCCATGACAAGTTCTTAACAAAGTGATATAAGCAGATGAGAGACAGTCTTTCAAAATTCACCAACCAAGTGAGAGAGGTAATTGCGCGAACGGAATGCGAATTAGAAAAGTGCCGAGCTGTATTCTTTTACAGCTAAGCTTATTCCAAGCTTACAGGACTTGTGCAGTAAGATAGTCTCTCTAAGAACTCCCAAAAGGCTACATCACTCAAACTGGTAGTCGAAAGACTTCAGCACACAGCGCAGGCGAATGTGTGGAATTTTACATAAAGTCGCTTCTAATAAGGTAATCGAACCACCTCACCGTAATGAATACGTGCACCCAACACAATCCACTTCCAGTTCGATGGAAGCAACCCTTACTACCATCGTGGAAGCAGAATTTCCAGGGTAAGAGCAGGATAAACTGGATCTTCAGTCAGATCCGACCTATTGCTTGTCCACTGATACGCTTAATAAAGTAACTTTCACGCCATCCGAAACAAGCATATTAATTAACATTCTTCCAAAGCGAAAGGCGATGATACTGTAATCTAAGGAGTTAGGCCACGGAGCCTGACTCCTTAGATTACAATATCATCCGAGCTATTCGTAAGGCAAAGTCAAGCTTCCTGTTTAAATACGAGTTCATCAGAGTTCAACTGTGCAGTTGTAGAGTTATTTGGAATTGCAAGAGAAACGTTTTGAAAATTTTAAAGAGATTTTTAATGTTTTAGTAAGCTGATTTGGCGGCCTGAAAAAATAAAAGTTATTGCCTTTGACTCAAATATTTATTGCAGGCTTCGTGCGCAAGTGATCCAGTTAAAAAAATAAACAATAACGTCTAGACTCGCATCAGAGGCAGTTTCCTCCAAAGATTAGCTAATCGGAACATGGTATACTAAGCATTTATTTAAAAACTATCTAATTATCTGCAGTTCAGGTATACTTTATGTTGTATAGATAATACTTGCAGTTACATATACTATTAACTTGCTACATTACACTACAATGAGAAGATACACTTGCAATTACACTAATATCATTGCACTGCTGCTATGAATTCTTAGAATAATGTATTTAAAATGACAGTGCGATTAATTATTTATGTTTTATCCTTGCCTACAGTTGAATGCCTTATACTAGTTGTTCCCAACCTATGCTTCACTGACCCCTAACTGCTCCGAATGCATTTCCCAGAAATTTCATGGCAGCTTCAGAAAATTAACATGATTAAAAAATTCAATGAAATTGAAGAATACGAATCACAAAAGTGGAATGAAAATAAGAAAACCAGAAGTAATATCTGAACAGAAATTTGGCAAGTTGAATTTGGCCCCATCTTGCAGACAACGTTTGGCCATTCTGTAACCATTAATTCCAAAATTATTGCAAGCAAGATCTGTTTCTCACTAGATGACAAGGCTGAGTAAGAAGCCGCTTTATCCCACGCATTCTGTTGTGGGGAGGACATGTTTTAACTCTTTGTGTCCGGTCTGGAGACACCTAAAAATTATATTCCGTACGCACAGAAAAATTGAATGGAAAAGGACTTATAGGTTACTCTGAACCTTCTTTATTTATAGTAGTTGGCAGCTCAACGCAAACCAGTCCATTTATTTTACCCATGCTTAGTTTAAGACCCTCATTTTTCAAAGAAATCTTCCAGATTTTTTAGAGTATAAAAGGAATTATTTGAAAAGAAACTTCTACGTTATTTTTTGGCTGTATGTTAATCTCCTTATTCTATATTAGTTTTAAATTTTACCTTGAAACCTTGCCTAAAATCAAACGGCGAACCCTAGGTGTGCCCAGACCGGGCTCTCCGATAAACTAGAACAACTGAGAGTCTGTATTCTTTGTTTCTCCACATCTCATCGGTCAGTTCATTGACAACAATGCTCGTTTCAGCACTCTTTTCGAAGCTCTATTCAATCAGTGTGCCCACCTGGGCACACCCACAGAATTAAAACGATAAGTGCTATCTTCCCAAAATTTTACTTGCGTACTCCTCTAGGCCTAATTAGTCTGCCTACCTTTTTTTTTTTTTTTTTTTTTTTTTTTTAAATCAAAACTCCGACTTTAAAGGTAGCGTGCCGGAAAGGGTTAATAGTATTTTACGGGAATTAAACGCTAGAGTCATTTCTTGCAGTATCTGAGTTATTTCTTAAAATGGCGCATTGGAGTTTTCTTGCCTATTGCCCTTCGAGAATTTGGACTAGCTAGCTTTTATTTCTATGGGGCTACGTTTCAAGGAAATTGGCTGTGTGTTTCACAGTTAATTTTATGCCATTAACATTGTGACTTCTCCTCAAGTTTTCTCTGCAGTTGACCTCTGTTTGATGTTTAGTTGTGTTCTTAGTATGTAGGCATTAATAAAGCGTTGGGTTTTGTTTTACTCATATGTTCTAATCTCGAATCATTGCGATATAGTATTTCCGGTAGAAAAAAGTTACACATATTTATTGATTTATTAATTCAAAAATGCAACTACAAGTGTCTCATTAAACGTATATGCGTTGTCTGCAAGAACTGACTCGAGCATTTAATTATCGTAAAATTTTATTAAAACAAGCCCCCCAACATAATGCGTGGGATAAACGTATATGCGTTTTGTCTCATTAAACGTATATGCATTCTCTGCAAGAAATGACCGAGCATTTAATTCCCGTATAATTCTTTTAAAACAACCCTCCCCCAACAGAATGCGTGGGATAAACGTATATGCGTTGTGTCTCATTAAACGTATATGCGTTATGTCTGAATTTAAGTCTACTGCTATTAGTAAAATTAAATCGCATTGTCTTCGATAATGAATAATAAAAACTTCAAATAATAAGTATTGAATGAACATATGTTTGAATTGAATCAGATGTAATGTTTCATATAAGGTGTTGGTGTATTTGATTATGGCAAAGCACACTAGGGCTATCTGCCTAAGGGGAGGGATGCCTTTCGTGGAGGACTTTCTAACGGAAACTGCCTCGTATACACGTTACACATGGGGAAAACCACGAAAACGCCCATCCAGCCAGCCCGTTCGCGGGATTCGAACCTCGGACCGAACTACCAGTGTTCAGCGACTTTACCGCTCGGCCGCTGGTGGGCTGTTTCATATAAGAAATTGGGTTTATTGCATGCACTATTTGTTTTTGCTCTCACAAATAAGCTAGCTTTTGTAACGCAAATAATTTGATTTATTGAACTTAGGAAGAGCTTTTACGTAAGGACAAGTTTTAAAAATAACATTTGTATTGGTGGTAGTTGAGAATAAATTAAAATATTATGGTAAATTTCAAAGCTTAAAATTTCATTTCATTTTTCAGGGACTGCGTAACTGTCTACCTAACGGTTTACTTTACATTACCTTACTATAAAACTCCTCCTTTCCTCTATAACATTATTCTTAAACACTATTACGTTGTAAGATACAAGGTAGGCCTCTAAAGTGGATTCTGCGAGTCAAGCAGATTGCGAGTCACTGCTTTACACATTATTGATCATATACTCGTACTATTAATGTAACAAGGTAAACAATAAATATATACTTATAGCCGCAGAAATCCTCTTTTGGGCAACTGCGTTTTTATCAGGGCATCCAAGTTGATGGTTTCCTGCCTTTTTGATGTTCCTGGTTTAATAGGCTGTTTATAGGTAGTCAAAATCTTTTCATTTTTAAATACACTGCCCAACATAGCAAATACAATATCATGACATAATGCGTAGAATGTGATGTTAATTGGTACACTGACAGAGCACGCCTATGCAAACAAGCATTGAAATATACAGATAAACCGTAAGATATATCATTACTACTCGCGGCGATGCAAGCCGCAACCCTACTAGATACAGTTCAATTAGTGTTCAGATAGTTTCCTGAGGATTAGAAGCCTATATGCTTTGAAACCTCCTCCAAAGTTCGTCCTTCGATAACGGCTGGAGCAAAGCAGACAAATGACGACCGATCACACCCCAAATATGATCGCTCAATGAAAGATAAGGGGACATCTCAGGCCAAGAAAGCAATGTAACATACTGCAAGGCTTTCGTCGGCTAACGAATGTCGTATGCGGTGTCTTGCTGGAAAATACCATTTTGCAGCCGCTGAAAGTAATGTAGCACAAACGGCTGCAGCACCTCATCAGTATATTCTCACGTCGTCAATGTGCCTCTGATGCAAAAGACGGGGGACCTGCTATCATGACTTATGGCATTCAAAATCATTATGCCAAGTTTACGAGCGGAGTTTCGTTCAGCAATATTAGTCGATTTGGCTCTATTTCTCCTATGCCTCCAGACTATTAACCGGTGACAATCATCAGACAAATATAACGATGACTCGTCGCTGAATACCACATGGTGCTATTCAGATGTTCAAAAAATATGCTGACGATACCATCGCAGTCTTTCGCGTTGACAGTTTGACATGAATGACTGTCTTCTCAAAGGGTAGCTTGTGTGAAGGAGCTTTCAGCCAAATGTCGGAAAACTGTTCTTATAGAAATTGGAGCATTCAAAGTTCTATGTACATTGCGCAAAATGCTCATAGTAGTCGACTGCCATCGCTTCTCTTCGTATGTGTCGATCTGTGCGTTCTGTAGCACGCTTAGATGGACCTGGTCTTACGCGTCTATTTATAGATTATTCATTGAAGCATCTAGAGTCTAGACCAATACTATGCACAGTAGATAAGTCTACGCACATTTCAACAGTGATAGGACGGTAAGACCAACCATCTGTAGGTAAGCCTACAGTTTGAATCCTCGTAAAACAGTCCGTTTGCCAGAATTGCCTACTGTGTCTTCGTCTAGACATTGTCTTCATTTACACGTGACTTCTCGTACGCTGAACTTCATGAAATTCTGCATTCCCAAAGTTGTAGAGAACAGCGATTGTTGGTTCGTCGACATTTCCCTCCCTTTTATAATATCGCCTATAATCACATGACCAACTTGCATCTTACGTAATCCTATGACTATGGATTCGCCGAAATTTGCATATTCATACGGCCGATTCTTCAAGGTATTGCATTTTTGTTTCTACATCGGACAATGTAAGTGCATAAGCTTTTACATAGTCATACTTTATGATGAAATAATATCGTAGAAACCCCCTCCCTCACCCAAAATTTGGAATAGCTGCTTATTACATAATTCTTTTCGAATTCGATTTCATTTTTTATGTCTTGAATTTCTGAAATATTAATTCTTAAATTAGTACGCTAATTGTAACTATTTATTTTAAGATGCTTTCAAGCATTACTTAGGATCAGCATATGAATGTTTTATGACATTCTATTTTAAAATATTTTAAGTATTTAGTACAGTTTAAAAATTTTAATGGCAAATTTTTCTCGATATTAGTTTGTTATCTGTTATTTTCAGATTACAGTTCATTATTATTATCATTATTTTTTTCTTTTGCAGCTCCAGTTTCTATTTATGACCCTCTACCTCCTGTTTATGTCTGCCATCGGTTGTATCACATCCAAGATCACCTTCGCTATTTGCGTTTTTTTGAATGTTTTCTTCTTTTTCCTGTTTGTTAATTACTACCGTCGAACATTTTTAACAGATGAGAATAAAGAAAAATGACATGAACAGTAAAATAATATAAAATTTATTTTGTTTTGTTCTATAACATAATTTAAAAGAAATAAAACTTATTTTATTTTATTGTATAATATACTGTGTAATTTTTATCTACAAATACACGCTACGTGATAACTTATTATAAAATGCGTATCACTTAAACATGCGGAATATATATATTTATGCAAGCATTCCATCAGCCTTATATAAGTAAGGTTTTATTCATGTCATTATAGGGGATTTTAAAACTGTTAATTGAGTGGCCTTAATTCAAAATGAATTCTTTAAATCTCTTAATTGTAGTTAGAGTATTAAATAATAAAACAATAAAATAATCTGAAATCCGTCCCACTTCTAACTATCACAAAAGAAGGTTTATAGCAATAACAGAAATGGGAGAAAATTGTTTTTATAAGTTCTTTTTCACTAAAGAATTCGATATATAGCAGTTACGCTTAATAGGCGCATGTATTAAAGTTTCTACCAAAAGGTGTTTCAAAGAACATTCAACTGAAAATTTATGTGTAAAAGTTTGGCATATTTGCGATTTAAGGCTAAACAACTGACAGAATCAAAGGATCATTGTTGCTGATAAAATTAAAGGAGAAAATATATGATCATTGGCTTCAGAATGTAAAATGATATTTGGTATACTTTTGTTTTTCAAGTGATTGTTATATGAAGTTTAGGATGTGAAGAAGGTAACTAATATATAAGAAAATCTTTTGCCTGTCGTATATGAAGTTGATCAGGTATTAAATAATAAAACTATCACTATCTAATAGCGAAACAATATATAGAGTATTAAGGGTTTGAAATTAATTTATTCATAAAGCAAAAACTTCAAATGACATAGGCTTTTTATAGCATTCTTTGAAGGAATTTAAACAGATATATTAGTTATGATATATTATGTTTTTGCAAATTGGGCGAGAAATTCACATATTAAGGTTTCTCAAAAGGAAAAAAAAAATCTTTATTTTTTTGTGTCTGCTTTTATTCTTCTCCCTTCTTAAAAAATCCCACCTATATTTTTTTTCTGAATTATCGCAATATATAATATCTAAAACTAAACTAAAAAACAAGCTAAAAAATCAAATCTAAAAACAAATAAATATTTTAACGCTAAACATCAGAAAAATTTGTTTTATTAATTCCCAAAAGAAGCGTTCATTTAAAAAGAACGAAAAAATTGTTTTATTTTCAATAGCACCTGGATCACCGAAATATACATACTCCTGAGTGTTTCCTGTTTCAGTATGCAATCTAGAAAAATCTGCTGGAATTTTAAAATAACAAACATTTGGATTTTAAAGTAATCGGTTGGTTTATGTGATTACGGCAAAGCCTCGAGGGCTATCTCGCCTAAGGGGACATATGCCTTTGTGGAGGACTTCCGCAAGGAAATTTGTTCGTACACACGTTAAACTTGGGGAAAGCCACGAAAACGTCCGTGCAGCTAGCCCGTTTGCGGGATTCGAACCTCAGACAAAACTACCAGTGTTCAGTGACTTTACCGCTCGGCCGCTGGTTGGCCTAAAGTAAACTGATTAACTTGTCCTCAGCAACATTAGTAGGCCGGCTATAGAGCTCTGCTTCTTGAATATCATAGTCCTCGTTTTTGAATTATCGGTGCCAAACCTTTACAGTGTCATATGATACAACAATAGTACCTAAAGATATATACTCGTACATGATTTGGTGATATTCTGTAGCTGACTTTTTGCAACAGAATTGGAAGAAAAAGTGATGGTTTTAATCTGGTAGTGTGATAGTTCCCTTTTAGATATCGTGTACTTAATGATAACGATATTCTTTTAACAAATTTTACAACAAAATGTTTTAAAACAAGTCCCTTTCTTTCAAAAGCCAAAAATCGTTTGACAAAATATGATTAAACACGCCAACGCGAACTGTTTACGCAGACGATATTTACGGTGGTGGAAAACCTTCGTTAAAGCCCGATAAAGCCATTCTTCTCGGAGCACTGATTTGGGGATAAACTATGAGGTTTTGATGCCCTCCCTTTTGAATCATCTCCACTTACTAATGAACGAAAGTCTTTTTTAAATGCAGTGTTTGGAGATTATTAAAAATACTAAGCAAGTCGATTTAAATTTATGAATAATTATATAATTTTTAGGAAGCTTTGATCCTATAACATAAAACTCGAAAAATTATAGAGATTCGGGATCATTTATAATAGTAGCGCGTCTCTTTAGGGCCAACAGAATATCCGCTGGGCCTTGGTAATTTTTAATTAGGTCCGATTTGTAAGGTAATAGAGTTACATAATGTGTTGCGGAAAGATGGCGCTAACAAATATCTATTGAGTATTTCATCGAAGATTCATGATTCCAATTTAAGAAATAATTCAAATTAGGTAGACAGTCTGAAAATGCTAAATTTGGTCATCTGATAAAAAACTTACAAAACATGAATTTTTCTACAAACCTCGTACAGAACATAGTAGCGAAAAACATATCTCCCATACACGAATCAGTCAGCAATCAGAAATAGAATAAAATTCACCGCGATATTTTGATCTAAATTTTTTGGGACCTTATGCAGTAACTATTGCTAAAAAGAAATATTAGCGGCCTAGCAATCTGCCATTTCTCTGAGGAGCTGCCATTCAATCTTTAATTTATGTTTGAATTTAAGACAAAATGTTGTTTAACTAATTAACAATTTAAACGCAATACATATTAAGTTTTCAAATGGGAATTTTTAAGGTTCTTTTGATTTTCCGTAATACATCTCGAATTTATGTTTGAATAACTATCTAAAAGCAAAATACGCTTACTTTTTAACTTTTGATTTATAACTTTATTTTTATAATTCAAAGCTGTTTTTCATTGAGGCAATTTATAATAGATTTAATTCATGATATTGATAGTACATTAAATTATAATTTTTATAAATATTTCCTTCTTTATTGTAATTACTAATAGATATTTCTGACGTCTTTTATCACATACATGAGCATCGACTATTTGAGCACAGGAGATTTTACTGAGAATGGTAATATAACAGAGAGAAAAAAAAAAAAAAAAAAAAAAAAAAAAATTCTCTCCCAAAACCAAATTTCCTTTACTGTATAGTGATGCCATCTACTCTTAAAACCTAGAACTAAATAAAACTTTTAATATGTAATGCTGACATCTAGTGACAGAGGAGTAAAATAAATATCCAGCCTCATTTTCTTATAAAACATTTTTTAAAATATGCCTGTGAATAAGCTACGTAACTATTATAATTTATCGAAAATTTTCACCTCCGGCGATAAACAAACAAGCTCGTCGCTTGGACACTTGGGCTTAAGTCCTATCACAGATAATAATAATTCAGTTTCGGAGCTACTCTCAACAGTAATTACTAATATTAATACTACATAATACTATACAAAACTATTTTTAGTAATTTCATTTGTGCTGTTTTACAAAATTCATTTAAGAAAATGTTAAGAAAAAATGTTATGAAAAGCTTCGATTATCTGTTTTTTATAAATGATTTTAAATATTAGGTAAGTACATAAACTATTAATTAAGAAAGGGAATTATATCACGAGAAGGATAAATAATAAAGTCCTTGAAAAGAACACTACGGGACTTATTTTAGAGAAATTTCAGTTTGAGCTTTTGTATTTAAAAAACGAAAATAATTAAAAATCCTCAAACATTTACGGTATAATTTATTAAAAAAAATATTTTGTGCGAATAAAATAAGAAAGGAGAGGGAAACAAAAATATATATACATATATCATATATCAAACATTCTTTATTCGTAAAAAGCAAATTTTAAAGTTAATAAATTTAAATGAAATTTAATGCAAACAAATAAATGATTAATTATTTTTGCGAACTAATCTACAATATCATTTAAATTCTGAGAGCATATGTAAATCAATTGCAAGCTTCATAATCCATGAATAAATATAAAATTAAAATTCCAAAAATTATATGTATATATATATATATATGTATGTATACATATATAAACACGCACATAATGCTAAAGAAAAGTTCTAAATAGGACTAAAATATAAATTTAGAAAACTTTCTTAATCTTAAGTTTAATAAAATAATAATAATAAAAAAAACCTTTCAGATTAATTTCACTTTACAAATTGCTTCGCTCGAAAAGCTAACAATTTCAATATCTCTTTTTCTTTAAACTTAAAATTTTTTTTTTTTTTTTTTTTTTTTTTAATAAAGAGTCTCTTAAAAAGGTTTTTAAAAAGTCTCAAGTCTTGAAAACATTTTCTGAGCTAGTATACTTTTTCCAGTTTTTAAAGATATGATTTTATATATATATATATAGGGACTATGGCCAGGATTTGGCGAATGGGTCCCCTAATCCCCGAGTCGCCAAGCACTCCTTCCTGGTGTAACTGAATGCACACTCGACGCGTATTCGGAGTTCGAGTCTCGGCGAGGGCACTGCATATTTTTCATATCTTCAGCATCAAAAATCCTAATGATTCTCTATATAAATTCTATATGTTCCATCCCTTTCTTATATATATATGCCTGTGTGCCTGTATGTGCGTATCTCTGCTACTAATTAATGAAGAATTTGTATCTAATTATGTATATATAAACGTTTGTTTCATGCACTGTAAAAAAGGCTGCATCTACAAGCATCAAATTTTGAACATACATTGTCCTGTACTTAAGTATGTGCACTTTGAAGCCCGAACTTAAAAATTTACTTTTTTATTTCATATTCTCTACAAATTTAATGAAATTTGGGTTAACAGTTTCGGAGATTTAAAGCAATGTGTTGATACTACTCGAAATAGAATAGTTTAATCTTCCGTTTGCAACAGAGGCAACATGCTTATAACTATGTTTGCTGACTAAATTTGAAAGATTGTCTTATGCTTTGCAGATCAGCAACACGTTAATGTGAGGAAGGTAGCAGTTTTTATTTGAAGCAACGTCAACACACTACCTTTAATCGCTGAATTTATAAATCGAAATGTCATTAAATGAACACAAAATATGAGAGAAATAAAAACAAATTCGAAATTCAGAATTCGGAGCTGGAGGGTCTCCGAATTCGGGTGGAGGATTATGTT